CCCTGGGCCCCACGCCCACTCTGCCTTCAAAAGGCAATTGTGCCCCAGCAGGAAGCAGGTGTCAGTGGCACGTGTCCCTCCAGGCTGAATGGACACAAGGGCACATTCTCTGCACTTGGCTTCCTCCACTGGGCCAGAGACCACCTGGACTGCGAGGTTGCCCAGACCCGCTGCTCACTCTGCTGTTTGCCCAAGCAGGATGAGGGCATCCCGCGCCATCCTTGCCTAGGCCCCAGGTCTCTGCAGAGCCCCAAAGTCCCGGAGAGAACCTCTCAATCTAAGAGGCAGAGCAGAGCCTCGTGGGCAACTGGACCAGTTTGGCCAAATCGTTAGGGTCCAGCGGTTTGTCTTGACCAGGACAGGATGGCTGTGTCCCAACATCCTGTCAGGGCTCCTCCCTGCAGCCTTCTGGACAGCCCAGGTCCCCACCCACACCCCCAGAGGAGCACAGCCCCTGTCCTCCGGCAGGATCCCAGCCTGCCGCAGGGCACTTAAAAGCATGCGTATGAAGAGCAAAGGGCTTTGCATACAAGTTGGGCAGAGGGGTCGCCCAGGTCTGTCACTTTGGGAAGGGTCTCAAGTCTGACCTGAGTGACCTGTGCCGCGTGAGGGGCCAGAATTCGTTGCAAAGCTCGGGCCTCGTGGAGCAGGGCCCACACACCCGTCAGCTTCCACAGGCCGGGTCAGGCCCCCAGCTCTGAGCGCCAGCCCAGTGTACCTCTCCCAGCCTCTCAATCAATCCCTGGGCCCTTGGGCACCCCTGCCACTTGGACCAGGCAGTGATCCCAGGTGGGGTATCCGTGAAGAGCATCTGGTCAGTCAGCCTTCCATGCACGGACCCTACCCTTGGCCCAAGGAAGGACGGCCAGGAGGACGGAGGAGCCCATTTCTGGCCCTCAGGGGCTGGGGTTCAGGTGAGCGGGGAGGGAACTCACCGGGCACCACGGGGAGACTGCAGAACGGCTGTGGGGCAACACAGGAGTGCCTGCTTCTCCAACCCAGGAAGCAGAGTGGAGACAAGGGCCGGCCGGCTGTGTGGGCCGAAGCCGGAGCTGGCAGGGTCCCAGGGCTGCATCAGGACGCAGGCTCGGACCCCCCACCCCCGCCAGCTGTGTTGCTTTAGTGCAGTGAGGAGAGGGGTGGTGCCGGGCCACATTGGGGAGGGGCCGACTAGGGCCAAAGAGGGCTCCTCTGTCCACCCTGCAGTGCTTGGATCTGGGGGCTCACCATCCCACAAGTCCAGCAAGGGGCATATAGATCTCCCTGTCCCCAAGCCTCTTCCAGAGATAGCCTCCCACAAAAACCCCAGTGAGCCATCAGCATCCCAGTGAGGTTCCATGACCTTCCCACTATAGCCTGGATGCCAGCCCCTTTGGCTCTTCCTCGGCTCTGGCCTATGTCCATGCTAGGCGACCAGCGCAGCCTGGGGGTGGGGCAGTACCGCATCCCCTTCCTAGCACCAGCTGCCTTGTCAGTGCTCCTGCAGGCTTTCACCGATGACCACAGACTGGTGACCACTGTCCAGGCCAGCGCCTCTGGGGAGCCCTCAGCATCCCAGCCCCATCAGTGAAGAGGACCATCCCCCTCAGGGGTTCCCTGGGCCCCACCTGCACAATAGACCCCAAGACCTGACCTTTACTGCCCACCTGCTTGTACCCACTGACCTTCATCCCACGTTTTTCCTGAAGCTCTTCTTTCCAACTGATCTCTAACTCAGGCTAAAACCCGACAGGTAAAGCATCCTATGAAGGATGCTGAAACTGCTCCCCGCCTGCCGCCCCACCCTTGGGCAACAACAACTGCTTGGACCACCCGGGGCCAGTGGGAACTCAGCCCCTGACTCACAGACTCACGCCTGCGCACATGGACCGTGGAGTGGCCGACTGATACCCTGACCTCATTATGACACTAAGACCTCTGCCCAAGGAGGAGCACTAGTCCTTCCTCAAAGCGCAGGCGTGACCTTGTGCCCGCCTCTGCATATAGTGATAAGCCTCCTCTTTCTGAGGATTAATCCTAACCCTAAACACAAGGACTCCGTCCACCCTTGCTCAGGGAGTCACGGCTTTGGACCGTATTCCCTGGGATCTCCTTATTTGGAGCAAATAAAGTTTCCTTTGTGCGACAGCTTACCTGGTGCAGTTTCCACGTGTGACTCACTGAGGAGAGAACTCAGGTCCACTCGGTTACGATAGGACTTCAAAGGGAAAACAGGGCTCTGGGAAAATGAAGACATCCTATGCTGTCCATGGGGAGATGACAAACTTGTCATGTCTTCAGGTCCTCAGGGGAGCTGGGGAGGGGACAGAGGAAAGCCCAGGGCTCTCTGCCACAGAAGGAAAAGGGGAGACTGGGGGAAGGGGTCAGCACTGATGTGGGAAACAAGGGCAAAAGATAAATTAAATTTCCTCATACCTAAAGCCCATTGACAAGTCCTTGAAACGGGCAGAGTGACCTTCTCCCGGGAGCTTGGCTGCCTCCATGTGGACACCTTCCTAAGGGCACAGGCAATCTTAGCCTGACCCCAGGATCCTGTGAGTCTACTTTAACTATAGAAATTCCTTTGGAAACTTCCTTTATCACTACCCCCAAGATACATGTTGGCCATCACTCCCAAGCATACCACCCACCGATTACATCTGGAGGGTCTCATGACTGAGTTTTTACTAAACAGTAATAAATGACTTTTCCCAGCAATAGTTAGCTCCCTCAGGATCCTGGAAACCTTGTTGCCAAAATACCTGGGAGGCTTACACTCTCCCTAATCCCCTCCCAACTTTACAGTATATAATGGGCCCCTCCTCAGAACCCCGGAGCAACTCTTCCCAGCCATGGATCTCGTCCCCGTGTTTTAATAAAACCACCTTTTGGCACCAAAGACATCTCAAGGATTCTTTCTTAGCTATTCACTCCAGACCCCAATGCTTCCACATCAAGTACCATCTCCCCATCTCTCAGGGCCTCTCTGAATCCATCCCCCTTCCCCTGTCCCCCATGTCTGGGCCTGGTGCTGGGCCCCCTGCTGAGCCCCCATGACCACACCACCTATGTGAAGCCCCCGTGTCCAGCTGGGCTGTCGAAGCAGGATGCCCACTGGGGCCCTGGAAGGAGGCAGCCCAAACACAGGCTTCATTCCCTCTACTTGGGGATTTGAGGTTTGGGTGTGTTTGCTTGTTTTTTCACTTTAACAAAGCCAAAGAATGCTTAATAAATAACTTATCATTTGAAAAACTTTTATTCATAGAGACTTTCAACAATATGGTGAAAAAATTTTAAGTAAGCTATTAGTAATCTTCCCTGTCTACTGATGTCAGAGCTAGCTGTGTTTCATATATTACAATCACCTTTCCTCTATAAACAGGATAAGAGATCTGTGGGGTTTGTTTTCTGTTGGGAGTATAATTGACACACGACATTCTGTGAGTTTCAGGTCAGAACACAGCGATCCGACAAGTAGGTGTGTGACAAAAAGGCTCACCTCAGCCAGCGGTCACCATCGTCCGCACACCAGACCACTGCACAGTGACGGACTGCATCCTCTCCCCTGTCCACCGTCCTTATTTCTGCCTTCCTAAACTGAAAGTTTGTATCTCTAACCCTACTCCCCCATCCTCCCCACCCCCTTAATGTTCTAATGAGACACCAACCTTTTTAAATATAGAGATTTCACTTAAAAATCTGTATTTCTAGCTTCTCTTGAAAAATCAGAAGGAAGGTCTGGCTCCTGGGCGTCCTTGGTCCTCTGGGGCCATCACACACCCTCCTGGGCTGCCTGCCCCCCACCCCCCCATTCCAGCATCACCAAGGCTCCGAAATCCCCCCACCTTAGAGGAGTTTCTGCAGACCCTGTGCTCCCAACGCTATCATTTAGCAGCTGCAAACAACTTCAGCATTCGAAACCTGCCTTCTGGACAGAGTTCCCTTGCCGGCTGTTTTCCAAGCTGTCTTCCAATCCGCACACACTTCACTTTGAATAAATAACCCCGGAATTCCTTCCAAAGAGACAGAACTGATTTATGTTTCCTCCAGCCATGAAGGCAAAAGCAAACACCCTTAGATTTCTATTGGAACTTCGTGGTCCCGATCCACGTGCCGCTGAGAACAAACCCCCTTCTGGGGCAGCAGGGACAGAAGCGGCCACCTATCTCCCTTAGCCCACGCTGGCAGGCTGGCCGGGCTGACCCATGCAAGGGGCTCTGTGGCTCCGGGGGGGGCGGTGCCTGATGCTCAGGGCACCACATTTGCCTGGATACTTCCTTCCAACCAGGATCATATTTTCATTTCTTTCTTTGGCTGTAGCTTCTTACTGATAACCCTGACCCTCCTTCAGGCTCTCCATTATCCGCCTAATGGCTCTTCTGCATCTGATTGCTTTCTCCGCTGTCCCTCAGGACAGCCCTCCACGATCTCCTCTGGGTGGAGGATGACGATCCTCAGGATGGTGTCCCCGCCGCCCCTGACCCTGCCCTGCCCGTTCTGTTCTTTTCTGTCTCCGTGTGCTGCTTTGAAAGTCATGTTTTCAGTTTCCAATATCCTCTTTGCCTTTCAAAATCTCGGCAATATGTCCTCTAATCTCACTGAAAATTCATTCTTTTTAAATTTCCCTCCATGAAACTGGTGTCCCAGGGAGCTGTATCTTCTGATTGCTGGCAGGTTCCTTGACAGGTAGATCCCCGAGAAGGGCGGCCATGCCCATATACGGAGCCCCTCCTCAGGTGCCCCGGCCAAGCTCCTGGGGTCGTCAGGCCTGAGAACCTTATGAGGAAGGAAGATGGACCGGGTGCCAGGCAGATGGGACAGCTGAGCTCTAGGCGTCACATGTAAGAGCAGCTCTGTTCCATGAGTGCCCCAGACCCCCCACTTTCCTCAGGACGCGGGGTCTACAGCAGTGGTGTGCACCCCACTCTAACCTCTGGGCCCCCAGGCACCTGGGATCACATCCTTCGAGACAGGGGGCCCTCCGTCCCTCCCGACAATTGACAAACGGGTGCCTCGATGCTGCCCTCCGAGGAGGCTGTCCGAATGCCGTCAGCCATGCGACCACCCTCCTCTGGGACTGCATCCAAGGTGCCCTCCAGGACAACAGAGTGTGCTATAAGCCGCAGGAGCTCCTCCAGCAGGTCAGACACCCCACATTCCAAGGGGGCCATCCGGACAGGGGGCTAGGGCCCTAATCCTCACCTTTAGCTCTGGCTAAACCATTTGTTTCATAAACAGTTTCAACTTTTCTCAACCTAAAGCCATTCTTTACTTGCAAAGATGCCTCATCCAGCCACAGATGGGAAGCTGAACATTCCAGATCCTTGCTGCCTTGTGTCAGCTTCCCAGGGCTCCCTGTGGGCGTCGCACAACCCTCTCTGTGACCAGCCCCCTGTCCCACAGCCAGCAGATTTGGGGAGCCACCGGGCTCCTTCAGGGACTCCCAGACCTGCTGCCCAAGCTTCTCCTGACCCCCTGCACTCGAGTTCCTGTGATGGTCGATGTGCCCACGTGTGTCCTTTCGAGGGGCAGTATGTCAACTTGTAATTTAGTGTCACTCACTTTCCTACCTTGTAAGATTTTTCTACCTGTTAACCAGATTCAAACCCTCAGGTCCCAAAGTGGGACCCTCACGGCAGTGGCGCCTCCAAGAGGATGGATCCTGAGTGGGTGCTTTTAGTGGGGTCTTCACCCCGACGCACAGCTGCCGCAGGAGTCCCCCTCCTCACCAGTCGGTACCCTGGTCTCCCAGGGATGACAGGAGAAGGGCTGGGACTCGTGCCCTGTCCCTGGCGCCGCCCCCCTACTCCAGGAAGGGGAGGCGTTTGGGTTGCTTTTCCGGGAACTGCAGGGCATACAAGCGGGCCATATACTGAAGCTCGGGAGTGACCATCCTCTCACACATCCGCTGTGTCTGCTCATCCAGGCCCTGCCTGAGGTTGTAGCCCAGGATGTCCGCCTGGCCCGACTGGAAGGGGCGCAGCTGGGGGTCGGCAATCTGCGACTGGTTCTTGGCTGCGCCGTCCTGCAGACACCGCTCCCTGAGCTCCCGCCGCCGAGCCCGCAGCCGCGCCACCTCAGAGCGCAGCCGCCGCGGGCCCAGCTCGGCATGCGCGCGGGCCCAGAAGCTGCGGTTGAAGTGCTGGTAGAGCTGCCAGTCCAGGGCGCACCAGCGCTGTGCGCGCGCCCTGCCCGCGGCCGTAAGGGGGGCCACGCTGCGCGCGCTCCGCGAGTTGAGCCGGAAGGCCACCACGTCGTCCAGCCGCCAGCGCAGCGCACGCCGCAGCAGCACCATGGACTCGTCGAAGTGCTCCGCGATGAGCACCAGCTGGAATTGCCGTTCCACGTCCGCCAGGCGCGCGCGCACGTAGCCCTGGTCGTCGGCGCGCGCGTCGTTGTCGAAGCCCAGGTCGAACCACATGTTATTCCTGGCAAAGGCGTTGAGCAGGCCCACACTCTGATTGTAGTAGGTCCACGGGGAGGCCAGGAAGGCATCCAGGCTCTCCGGATCCCTGAACGCAGGGACGTAGTCTTTGTAGTAGGTGAAGGCGGACTCCAGCTGGAAGACGGGGTTTCTGATGATGGAAAAGTAGAAAGTATCGTTGGGCATGACTTTCTGCACCTGTGTGGAGGCCCAGCAGGAAGGGCTGTTACTCTCAGGATCCCTGCAGCAGCCCAGCAGGCAGATGTCCCCTCCCACAGCACAGGAAGGATCCTGAAGCATCTGAAGTGGGCCCCGCCCTTCCCTAGCGCCTCCTGCCCCTGGTCCCCCTGCGCCTTTGGAAGGCCAGTCAGGGGGAAACCCCACCAAGGAAGTGACCTCTACACTGAGATGCAAATGACCCAGAGGAGGAGATGTGAAGAGTGTCCCCTCAAAAATGGCCCCTGGGCAAAGGTCCTGAGTAGGAAGAAGTAGAGGGGTTTGGGAAGCAAAAGCAGGAGTCCAGAGAGGTAGGTGGAGAGGGCGGCAGGCCTTGAGGGCACCTGATTCCAAGAGCAATGACAGCCAACTGTCTGTGGGGGAGAGGAGCAGGGTGCGTGGCTAGCCACCCCTGCCCCCAGGTGAGGCTCTGGCAAGGTCTGCAGGTACACACATCCACAGCCTTTGTCCCTTTGGTGTCTTGGGCACAACCAACCCCCAGGGTCATACTCAAAGGCACAACCCCACAGGGAGCCTGGGACCGGTCCTGGCCGGTCCTTCCACTTCCACCCCTCCTACCCACACCCCACACCTCAGGCAGGTTGAACCTCAGGTGGTTGCCCATGATGTTGAAACGCTGCTGCAGGCCTTGGGGCTCTGAGCCCTCCACGTAGCGTGCCAGGAAGAGCCAGGGGTAGCCCAGATGGAAGCTGGAGCCGGCGGGCAGGGCCACGGACAAGTTGTGCGTCTCAGCAAAGCGGAAGAGGATGTTGAGCACAGTGCTGCTGGCCGTCTTGTGCGTCTTGAGGAACATGACATTGACGATGGGTGGCCCCTCGGCCTGGCTCCGGAGCAGACTGGGAGGAGAGCATGGCCACTGTCAACCAGGGAGGGTCCGTGGACCCCCCACCCAGCGCAACCCCCAAACCATCTTCCATCACCAACCTCTCCCCAGTCCAAGATCCCCTGCCCCACACTTGCCCTGCCAATGACACCCAGACCCTGCGCCTCCAACTGTGCTTCCTTCCACTCACCAAGAGACCCCCAACCCTACAATCCCGGAGGACCCACCGGCACAGGCCTGACTGCTCCCTAAGTGGCCACATCCTCTGTCCCCCCACATACCACAGGTTGGGCCCCTGGGGCCCTGGCACCCCCTCTCTGGCCCCCAAGTTCCTGTCTGGTCCCCAGGGCATCCAGCATGGCGCTGGCCCCATGGCCTGGACCCCACACCCAGAGTTTCTTGGCTGACATGTGACACAGGGACTGGCCAGGCTGACTGCAGGGCTGAAGGGGATACCGGTGCCCACTCTCATTGTCCCGTGATGGCACCCAGCCCGCTGTGCCTCCAGCCTGCAGCGACAGGCACCCCTCCTGCCCCAGTAAGAATAACCCTTGATAGTGAGGGACAGGATACACAGGCATGTGCCAGCCCTGGGGACAATGGGAGGACCAAGGGAGAGACCCAAGGAGCTTTGGTGCCCCCTGGGGAGATCCAACCAGAGAGGTGGGGAGGTGGGGAGAGGCGGCCTGGAGCCACACCTCTCAGCGGCCAGGCAGAAGCACAGGGCCTGCGTGAACATCCCTGCAGACCCTGGGCCTCACAGAGGATGAACCCCAAGCAGGCAGGGGAGCAGGGGACCTGACCTTCCCAGGCCCACCCTGGACCCTAGCCCTGCCTCCTAGTACCTTGTCACCCTCTGCACACAGCAGCTCCACCCAAGACATGCCCACCCCTGGCTCACTCCCGCCCTCCCTGAGCCTTGCCCAGAGGTGCCTTGCCCAGAGGCCTGGGCAGATTGCTCCCCGCAGGAGACCCTGGAGGGCTCCAGAAGGCTGTGGATCCCTAAAGCGAAGGGCCCACCCCTCCTCTCATAGACAGGAGAAAGCTGAGGCCCCGTGGGGAGGCACGAACTGCATGATCACTAGCCAATGCAGAGTGTGACCCGGAGGTGGGCAGGCTGGGGTCACAGGCCCTGCCCCGGGGGCGGGCACCCCACGCAAAACTCACGGTATGAGCAGCCCCACGTCCATGTGCAGGATGCCGGCCAGCAGGAGCATGGTCAGAGCCAGGAGGAGGACAGCCTGGAAGCACCTGTGGGGCAAAGGAAGACCTTCAGCCTTCAGTCAGGGGCAGGGAGGGGCCAGCACAATCTCTGCCCCTCCATCCAACCCCCCATCACTGTGTATCCATTCCTATGGAGAATATACCCGCACCCATCCCCGGGGGGCCCTGGCGTGGTGGAGCTGAGACCCAGGAAGGGCCTGAATCATCAGACTCTACCCACCTCCCGGGCCCCCAGCTGCACTGGCAGCAGCTCCACAGTGGCTCCAAAGCCAGGAGAAGCTGGGGGCAGAGGATGGAGAGGGGCCAGCTGATGGGCCCTGAGCAGGGTCCCCTGGGAGACTGTGGCCTGACAGAGACTCATGAGCTCAAGCACCCCCAGGACACATCAGGGGAGGGGCTGAGAGGTGGGACATCCTGTAATTCTACCCCTGGGGGAGGGGAGGGGCCCCATGAGAGAAAGAGAGGCCCTTTGGAGGGTCTGCCTGCATACCAGGTGCTTAGCAGGTGTGCTGGAGGCATGGGTCCCTCCCAGTCCCTGTCACCAAGGGGAGATGCTGCAACCAGATCAGGGAAGAGACAGGACTGGGGCAAGGGGAGCCCCATAGAGTTAGGTGGGGACACCCCTTTGTCCTGCCATCCCCAGAACAAAGGAGCTGCAGCAGCACCCTCCCACCCCACCCCACCCCACCCCACCCCTGCTAGGTGTTCCCACTAGGGCAGGGCACCGAGGAAGCACTGGACGGCAAGCGAACTTGCCATAAGGGGTCCCCCTGCCCCTCCCCACCCTGAGGCCACCTGGGTACACAGGGGGCGAGGCCTGGGAGGGACAGGAAGCAGCAGCTGGTCTCCTCTATGTGTATTACTGGTGTATAGGCCACCCCAAATTCACACCCCCAGACTGAGCGAGCCCCAGCTCCCCACTGGGATGTCCAAAGGCATCAGAGTCACCAGGGTCCAGACTGCAGCTCCTGATATGCCTGCCATACCCCTTCCCCTTGGTGGTCAGCGGTTCCCTCCACCTGCTCTGGCTTTGTGGCCCCATGAAGTGCCTATCTGTCCCACCTTCAGCCTTGAGCCACAGCCGCTCCCCTCCTGCACGGCTCCCGAGCCCATGGCAGCCTGTTGCTCCAAGTCCACGTGTCCCTGCCCTCCCATGGGCAGCCCACTCTCCCTCAGCAGCCCAAACAATCCTTGCATCCAAAAGCCCAGTGTTCTCAAACCCACACCCTTAGTTTAAAAAAGCCGACTCTCAGGGATGCCTGGGTGGCTCAGTCATTAAGCGTCTGCCTTTGGCTCAGGTCATGATCCTAGGGTCCTGGGATTGAGCCCCACATCGGGCTCCCTGCTTGGCAGGAAGCATGTTTTCCCTCTCCCACTCCCCCTGCTTGTGTTCCTGCTCTTACTGTCTCTCTCTGTCAAATAAATAAAATCTTAAAAACAATAATAAAAATTAAATAATCTTTAAAAATCTTGAAATAAATTAAATAAATAAATACATAAAAATAACTCTCCAGGCCAACTCTCCAGGTTGCTCCTCTCTCCAGCCACCCCCTTCCTCTAGTCCTCACACATCTGGCCTCAGGGCCTTTGTGCATACCGAGGATTTAGCTGCTGCATGCCTCACCCCCAGCTCCACTGGTCTCTGCTCCATCCTCACCTTCCCCAGTGACCGCCCCAACCCTCCTGCAGGAGCTCTCACCACCCTCGCTGTTTCTCCCCCCAGCCTCACTGCTACCTGGAGGGGTCATGTATGTTTCTGTCTGAGTATAGTCTGTAGTGCCCATGAATGAGTAAGCCCCCTCAGTCCCTGGAAGAGAAACAGCATATATAAGTCACATTTGCTGAGTGAATAAATGAAGCCAAGCACGCATTCTCTCCTCCTGCTGCAGACTTAGAAATTTGGGACAAGTTTGAAAGATGTGGGAGCAAATCTTTTGGAACAAAATGTCCTGAGACCCATAAGTGGAGCTACCAGTCAGTGGTTGGAAAAGGAGTCAGACCTCAAGGAATTGCTGTGGCACACATTTTCACGTCGGCATAAAAATGCCACATCACTTAGCTACTTGGTCCCAAGAATCAGAAAACAGTGGTGGATTTTCCTCATCAATCTAGAAGTCTGGAGAGGGGAGGCTGCTGGTTCTGGCAGACTCAGCCCCACCACACTGAGGATGTTGACATGTCTCTTTTTCCAGGTTTGTTGCCTCATGGTCACAAGATGGCTACCAAGCTCCAGACATCACATCAGCAAGAAAGGAGAAGGAAGAAGGGACAGGACCAGCCATGATAAAGAGCCAAAAAGCCATCTAGAAGCTCCTAGAGAGCCTCCACTTCCATCTTGTTGGCCAAAATTCGTTCACATGGTCACCTCCAGCTACAAGGGGGAGCTCAGAAAGCATTTGCCAAGTGTTTACAACTGTGTGGTGGGGGGCCAGGGAGAAGGTGGTGAGTGTCTATATAGCTTCATTTCTATAAATCTATGGGAATGCTGGGGGGCAGCCAGGGCCCAAGCTGGGCCTGCTCACGAAGGCAAACATGTCTATGAAAGAAATACAAGTGGCTGCCCCAGATGTGGCCTGGCTGGTGTCCTGGGACCCACATGGCCAGGCCAGCAGCTGGGGCCCCTCACAGCCCAGGGCTTCCCAGTAGTCAGGCCTCTGTTCGTCCCAACACTGGGATGCCTGGCACCTTCCAGATGCCAGGCTCTTCAGACAGGATTCATGAGCCCGACAGCACTGGGCATGGCTGCAGCCCACCACAGGCACACAGCAGCCCACTGGGAAAACCCCGTCTTCGGGGCCTTGGGCAGTCCACGTCTCCGCGGGCGGTCCGTGTCTCCTGTTATTTTCCCGGTATGTGATAGATAAGTGTCCATTACATTGCTGCCTGTTACTGATTCCAGCCCATCAGCACTGAAAACGTCCATCTGCATCGAGATATCTTCAGCCGTGATTTCCAGCAAGCCGACCTGCAACATGGCTGCTTGAGAGAACCACGTGGACCTCCTCACTCCACAGTAGACAGCATCGCCCCACCCAGCTCACCAGAGCCTTGCCCTCGTGCAGACGTGAGCTCAGGTGGGGAGAGGCAGGGGTCTCTTCTGCTGGGGTCAGAATGCCACCTGGAGGGGCTGCAGCCTTTTCGGAGCCCATGACCCCTGCCATGCCCTGCACATGGCCTGGCCATCCGACAAGTGACCTATATGGTTTAGTGGACTGTTGACTAGATTCCTTCTGCGTCCTGACTTCTTGGAGAGAGGAAGCACCTACAGAGACCCGACTTCACCATTGATGACACAGGGCTTGGATTCTGAGCTCTGAGAGGGGGACCCGCTTGAAGCCACCCAGCCCGACTGCTGCCTCCAGGACAGGCGGCTGCCAGGTCCCTGTCTGCAGACACACCCAGGAAGGTTCCATAGCTGTCCTTCCCAGTTGGTTCCAAGTTTTCACAGCCTTCTCCAGAACACTGTCCCCCCCCCACCTGCTTCCCAAGGACACAGATACCACGGAGTAGGTATCTAGCCTCTCCTTGGACGGGATCTGCAGTCAGAGGGTGAGTTCCAGACTTCCCTGTATTTGAAGAGGGAAAAGGACAGAGGGGTCTCTCCAGGAGCCTAGTCCAGGGCCTGAGTCTCCCCAACAGGCTGTACCTGGCAAGGGTAGACTGTCTCATGGGCTCCAGCCACACAGAGGACCAACTGGTACTAAGGCCTCTGAGCAGAGGAAGTGGGGCTGAGGGGGCTCTGCCATGGGACACTTGGCCTTTAGGAGGTCAAGTTGCAGGTCATGAGAGGATTGGATCCCACACCTGGACTCCAGAGCTTAGCATCTGGACAGGACACAGGGAGGAGCTTCCTGCTTGGACAGGGGTTTTTACAGAGGGCTTTACAGGGTGCATAGGAGTACGACAACCAGATGGGGATAGCATTCCAACCAAGGGGAAGTAGGACTGAGAAGCTGGCTTAGAAGAACCGGACAAGAGCTGGGCACCTCCATCAGGGCAACAGTGGAGCAGCAGGAAGACCAGACTTGGGCCTAGTAGGATACCCCTCAGCCTTCCCATGACACGAAGGTGGATTGGTATGGGCTGACTGCTCAGTGGCGAAAGGTGTGTCCACATGCCAACCAGGGAAGTGGAGAGGAGGGGATGGCTGGCCCGGTCACAGCCCTCTGGCCGTGAGTCCGAAGCAAGGAGGGCTCACCCCTGCACAGCTGTGGCCAGCACCCCTCCATCCTGGGGGAAAGGAGATGACCAATTTCTGCAGAAAACTCTCAAAGTTTAGGGGCACCTGCGTGGCCCAGTCAGTTAAGCATCTGATTTCGGCTCAGGTTATAGTCCCTGGTCCTGGGATCTAGCCCCCACATTGGGCTCCCTGCTTGGTTGGGAGTCTGCTTCTCCCTCTGGCCCTCCTCTGTGCTCTCTCAAATAAACACAATCTTTTAGAAAAAAAAGGGGGGGGCTCTTTAAGTTTAATAATAAAAAAAGTGGGGTGTCTGGCTGGCTCAGTTGATAGAGCATGTGACTCTTACTCTCGGGGTGTGAAGCCTACTTTAAAAAATAAATAAAATAAAATACAAAACACTCTGGGAGGTTAACATAATTCCCAAAGGAGAATCTTTAACTAGAAAGTCAGTTTTAAAGTTCAATGGAAGGAAATCATATAGTAACAGCCAAGGAAATTCTAAGAGATAATGAGCAGGAGTGCCCAGTCTATACCACAAGGCCCAGAAAATCACTCTCTGGAGCTCTTTGGGGTTTGTGCAGGATGGAAAGAGCCAGGGGGATGTGGGGAGTGAGGTGGCTTTCTGGGCACGGAGCAGAGGCAGGCACAGCAGATGGCGTGAGCTCAGCTGGCCAACTCCAGAAAAGGATTATGTTGGATTTCCACCTCACTCCATCAGTCAGAATCCATGCCACATGGGCCACGTTTCAACGAGAGCCCAAGGCTGTCCCTCACTGTCACTGGTGTCTTGATCGGTACCACCTCTTGGGACTCCTCAGTTAAAATGCACAGCACACTTGCCCAGGGA